CGGAGCAGCAGAGTTGCTACCGACATGGTTACCGAACAAGTCAGTAGCGTCCTCATGGGTGTCGTCGTCATCCTCAGGGGCTAGGTCTGTCGCGATTAGATCGTCGTTGCCGGTGAGCGACCAAACGATCTCGTCATCAACACCAGCCATGGCGCCCTCGATCGCGAAGGGCTCTCCAACACCGTTCCTCAATGGTGCGCGGGGCCGCCTTGGTCGCTCTATGCCATAGCTAGAGGACGACGCATCGGCTACCGACCTGCGCAAAGAGATGGAGGAGGAGGAAAAGAACATATCAGAATAGATCAATCATCATTCATCAATGGAAGAAGAGGAGGGTTAGGGTTTGGGCTAGGGTTAAGGTTGTACTTGCGCAACCGGAGCCTAGTGCCGGAGAAGACGAGGGCCACCCAAAGAAGACACACTGGTTAGAAGGACGACGAGCGGCGGAGGAGGGGCAGACGGGGACATGAACTCACATAATCACCGAGATCTAGAGGGGAGATAGGAACAGGGAGAAGAGAGAGGCGGGGAGGGAGGGGACCAGGTAGGAGAAGTAGGGAGCTGCTCGCCGGCGGCAGGCGGATCGTCGAAGTCACCTCATCGGAGTCGTGGAGGACGGATCCGAGAGCCTGAGACGACGAGGGCGAGACCGCGAGAGCGAGGCGAGACGAGGCGCGGCGGGATAAAATAAGCTAGGGTTTAGGGTGAGGGAGAGCCGCCGTGGCGTGCCGACTTATATATGAGGGGGGGGGAGGCAGGGACGCCGAGGAGCGCGTGGGCGGTGTGGGCGCTGGGCCTTGGGGAGGAGAGGAGAACTGAGCAGGGGGAGGGGGGAGGCCGGGCTGTTGCCGGGCCGTCTGTTGAAGGCTGGGCCGTACCGTGCCAGCCCACGGCCCTAAGCAGCGGCACACGCACGCCCTGCTCCCTCAGGCCGAGACAGCCCGAACCCGCTGACCATTGGGCCACGTCGTGCTTGGTCCGGACCAAAATTGAGTGCTTCGTGTCTCGGGCTGCATGAACAATATTACTCTCGCGCCCCCCCCCCCCGCACACGTGTAATGCGGCGCTGTGGCCCCCGTTTCACGGTGACGATTGGTGGGGCCTGGTGGGGCCCACCCGTCGGGGTCCCGGTGGGGGAACCTTTTATCCGCCGTGCCGTTCTCCTCCCCCGCAGTCGACTCGACACTGCTGTAGTCCTGTTCCTCTTCCGCCTCACTCTCACTCCTGCAGTCCTGCGCTTCCTCGCCGTGCGGTTCCTTCACCCTGATCCTTCTTTGGCTTCGCGGTTCATGGCGATGTGGAGGGCCGCCGCTAGGCAGCTGGTCGACCGGGCGCTCGGCTCAAGGGCCGCACACGTAAGCCAATCCTCCCTACCCTACCTTTCTCGTCGTCTTCGTTTTGATCGGATATGGTTACCCTGTTTCTGTTTTTGCTGCAAATTTCTCGCGTGCTCGTTGATTCACCGTGGCTATTGCGCCTAGTTTATCAAAACGCGGCAACTTTCCTCTCGCGCTTCTCAGCTGCGGGTGCGGGAGGGGCGAATTTTCACTCCTTTCAGTGTTGCCTGTGCTTCTTTTCAGGATTCTCTGTTCATCTCATGTACTATCAGTCTTTTCTTTCCCTTCCTTGTGTATGTTTTTTCCCTCTTGGATGAAATTTAATAGAGTTTAGTTCACATCAGATGTATTGCTTGTGCCGTGAATTTCAGATGATGGAGCGGTCCGATCTATCTATGACACGAACTTTGAAGATGTATTCTCATTGATTGAATTCTTCCTTTGTTCTGCAGACGTCTGCAGGCAGCAAGAAGATCGTCGGGGTGTTCTACAAGGCCGGGGAGTATGCCGACAAGAACCCAAACTTCGTCGGCTGCGTCGAGGGAGCACTCGGCATCCGCGGCTGGCTCGAGTCGCAGGGCCATCAGTACATTGTCACCAATGACAAGGAGGGCCCCAACTGTGGTCAGTATAGCCCAGCCAACCCCCCTCCCGCCCCAACCCCCACCCCAAAACCAAGGATTGGAGTACTTCTCATTTATCTTAGGGCAGCTCCGACAAAGACTTATGAGCTAGCTTTAAGCATTTTATTTTATATTTCAATAGAAGAGAAAGAGAGAAAATATATCTCTTGATCAAGAGCTACTGAAACGTAGAAGCTAGCAAGCCTACCATCATGATTTTAGAACACCGAAATACTCTCTCTGTCCCAAAGAGAATCACATTATAATTTATAAATTTAGTAAAAGTCACCTCATAAGTTTGACTAAGTTTGTAGAGAGAAGTATTATTTGTGATCATATAAAAGTACTATGAAACTATATTATTGATACACTTTTTCTATAAATTTACTCAAACTTACAACAGTTTATTTTGACTAAACCTGTAAGATCTTTTTTTTTGGGTATGGAGGGAGTATTTCTGAACTCAAATAGAACATTGCTGGTAATTCAGTGGATGAAGGTAACAGCATCTGCAGTCCATACTGGGTAGCTTGGCAGTATACATAACGTTGCAGATGTCAACTGCTTCTGTTTCTGTAATTGGAATGGAGATTTTTTTTTTCTGATCCATGGAAAGGGAGAAATTTTCTTCTTAATTTGGTAGGGCCATTCTGTGACCAAGTGTCTGGTTTAGCCCAACTGTTCGGAAACTGCAGTGGCATTGACTGTCATGTTGTCTTATTGCTGTATTACTTAAGATGCTTATGCATGTCAATTGTGTACCTATGCTTACTAAGATGAAATATGTTGATATACAATTTAGTATTTACTCACTCCATCCCGAAAAAAATGCAATTCTAACTACAGTGCTAAGTCAAACCATCTTCAGTTTGACTATTTGTTTTATAAAAAAACTAGTACTAATGGTATGAAACAAGTATCATTAGATCTATTTTTATAATGTATTCATTTGAAGTTATAACTGTTAATATTTAAAATAGTTTTACTTAGAACAGATCTAAAATTCAATTGTTTTTGGGACCGATGCAGTTCTGAGAAGGGTAGGCTTGGTGCAAGCGGTAGAGTCTTACCGCCTATGACCGGAAGACAAATTGATCATATACCGCCTATGTTCGGTATCTGGGATCGATGCTACAGAGGGATAGAGATATTGATGCGGATGTTAGCCATAGAATCAAAGCAGGGTGGATCAAGTGGCGACAAGTTTCTGGCATTCTTTATGACAAGAGGGTACCACAAAAGCTAAAAGGCAAGTTCTATAGAACGGCGATTAGACCGGCTATATTGTATGAAGCAGAATGTTAGCCTACAAAGATTCGACATGTTCAACAACTTAGTGTTGCAGAAATGTTTATGTTGCGATGCATTTGCGGTCACACAAAAATGGACCGAGTTTGAAACAATGATATACGTGATCGCCTAGAGGTAGCATCAATTGAAGAAAAGCTTATCCAACATCGGTTGAGGTGGTTTGGCCCAATGTCCAAAGGAGATCTCCAGAGGCACCAGTGTATTGTGGAGTCCTAAACCAAGCTAATAATATGAGGAGAGTTAGAGAAAGACCGAAATTGACATGGGAGGAGGCAATAAAAAGATATTTGAAAGCTTGGGATATACCTAAAGATCTATGTTTAAATAGGAGTGCTGAGAAAGCAGCTATTGAAGTGTCTAAACCGTGACTTGGGGCTCTTGGTGGGTTTCAACTCTAGCCTACCCTAACTTGCTTGAGACTAAAAGGCTATGTTGTTGTTGTTGTTGTTGTTGTATAGTTTCGGCTATCATATAGCTTTCGGTATTCATTTGCTTTAACCTAGTTATTTTAACAATTTCTAATCTTCTAGATTCAATCATTTGAAAAGGTATATAAAACATCTTACAATGTCAGGATTATTCAGTTACATCAAACGTTGAAGAAAAGGCTTGCCACTAACACCCTTCCCCAAACCCCGCACAGAGTGGAAGCTCCCTGCATTGGGTACGCCCTTTATCAAACGTTGAAGAGAAAGGTTAATCAATTAACCAAAAGATGAATAGTCACTTATGAACAAGTCCCTCAAGTACAACATGAGAGCCCTCAATGAAAAAATTATTATTTCATTGAGCTATGCAAACTTCCATTGCATTTTCCATGTTAGTTTTGTGAAATTACAGTGTTTATGTTTTATTTAAAGGGTTACGAACAAGAAAGCCATATATTATATTAAGGAAAGAAATGCACATGAAAAGATGCCCTAAAGAAGTTACAGATAAACATAGTAGAGTGATAGTTACAAATAAAATAAAGGGCGTAACCAGTGCAGAGAGCTCCCGCTCTATGCGGGATCTGGGGAAGGGTGTTAGTGGCAAGCCTTACCCTCGCCTGTGCAATGCGAGGAGACCGCGACTCGAACCCAGGATCTTCCGGTCACAGGCGGTAAGACTCTACCACTTGCACCAGACCCGCCCTTCATAGTTACAAATAAAATAGTGAGAAAAAATTATAAAGCCCCAAACTAACATAAACAGACAACACTGGAACTGCAATAAACAACATCATTAACTGTAGAATGTGAAAAACATAGAAAGGATAATCATCATTGATTCAATATTGATATAATGCACTGAATATTCGTAAATGCAAACATTAAAAGTATGTAACCCTGCATTTTACTATTTGAGAGTATGTAATCATGTTATGAACAATGAATTTCTACAAAATGGTATTTTGAAACTCCCAAGTCTAGAAAGTTGCTAAAACGATATTGCATCAGTAACGTACCAGATGATTCAATACACCTTGATCGGACTCTCCTTTCACATGCTTCACTACCCTGCAAGAAAGAATTCCAGAACAAGGCTTACCAGGCACGCAAATCCACTTACCAAACCTTTACTATATTGTACAATTATCGCATAGCATCTGCTGGGCACAATTTCAGCTACATATGCTAGGCATTACCACAGTAAGACAAATTGATCATATACTCTAGCAAGTTCGAATTTTGATTTCAGATTCTTTGTGAACGTCCAAGATTGCATAGCATCTTTGCGTCACTTCTGCTTAGACTTCAAACGGCTTGCAGGCATTTCGTTGAATAGGACCTTGAAGTGAAGCACAACTCTCCACCTCCTCCCCCAATTCATCCCCCACAAAGTTTTTTACACCAGCTTGGAGCACCCAGAAAATAGAACCTCTACTCTTAATACCTCCGCCCACGAAAGACAGAAACAGGAAAGAATAAGAGCGACTCACCGGCGCTCGTGCCCCGTCGCCTCGGGCCTGGCGGCGGTCTTGCTCCCGGTGGATGGCATCGAGTGTGGCGCGCAGATTCCTGCCGCGGTCAGGGAGGCGTTCGGACGTGCCTTCGGTGAGCAGGCCCTGGAGGCGCTGCGCCTTCTCCCGCAGCGATTGATCCGACAGCTGCTGCGCTATCACCTCGGCATCAGCCCTCTCCGCCTCCTCCTTTTCTTCGTCACCGGACCCCACCTCGCCGCAGTGGAGCTTCTCCGGCGAAGCCGCGGCCATCGTCATTCACCCGGGGCGCGGCTTCGCCTCTTTACCAGCCGGAGGCGGAGAAATTGCGGGAGACAGCAGGAGTCTTTTTTTTTTATTTGTCAGGACATGATGCCTAAATTTAGTCAGCTAAAGTTTGCCTGTAGCTATTCCATCCAGCAACGAGCATCTCGAACACAAAAACTAATTATCAGGCAGATATAAAACATATTTTGGGATTTTAAAGGTCTTCTTTCAAACAGGAGAAAATTTAATCACCAATAAGAAAAATAGTAAATTGAGAAGAAAAGGTCTCCTCTTTACTCGACGGGTGGGAGGATATGATACGAGAAACTATAAAAAAATTCTCATTTGAGTTGGGTTTGAAAACTGCTAGAGCTACAAGATCTTTAAAATAATAGTTTTTCCTCATTGGGGGTAAGGAAAGAGGACTGCTGCAGATGCTCTTAAGCTAGTAAAAAATTAGCTGAGTCTATTAGCTGGAGCATCTAAACAACACAGCTAAAGTTTAGCTGAGAAACTTTTAGGCCCTGTTTGAATGCAAAGTATTTTTAAAGTATTGAAGAAATATTATGGTTTTATAAAAAATACTTTGGTTTTTAAAAGCTACTGAGTGTTTGGATGTAACAAATTTTGTAGTATCTAAAACCATGATTTTGTCAAAACTGTAATCCTTTTGAAGTTTTTGAAACTCTAGTCATGAGCTCTTTTTTTTCTAAACCATGGTTTTGTGTCTATTTGGTTTATAAAACCATAGTTTCGTGATACTACGGTTTTTAAAAACCGTACCATCCAAATAGGCCCTTAGCTGGCTAAAGTTTTACTTTAAAATTTTAGCTAGCTAAACTGTAGTTAGGTGTGTCCAAACGTACCCTTAATTAGGACCGTTCCATTATTTATAACTACAACGGTTCTAAGAGCATCCCAAAAGTTTCATAAAGCCACTCTCAATCCTGATCGTTTTTAGTAAGATTAAAAAAAATACTCTCCATCCACTTCCAATCTTTCCGCGTTTGGTAAAACCTATCCAATCACGTGCAAATATACGCATGTGTATCGATCGGCCAATCTGAAGATAGAAAGACGTGTGCAAGAATAAGTAGGACAGGATTCTTAATGTCAATATAGAGGAGACAAAGAAAGAATAAAAGTGATTGGGGTGATTTGAAATAGTCTAAGAAATTGTCTTTATATTTTGACAGGAGTGGGATTTTAAAAATCATTGGAGAAACCTAACAGATATACTTCTAAATATTTTAGCCACATGAAAAACTGATTGATTTACCAATTAACTTTTTGGAAACTATTGGAGACGCTCTAAGATAACTATTATTTATCATATTATAAATTGGTATGCCAATACAATTTATTTCGCATCTATGATATAGCCCTCTGTTTCAAATTAGACATTTTGGAATTCTTAGATAAATTGCTTTTACTATACATCTAGACGTACTAAGTATATATAGAAAACTATATATCTAGAAAATTCAAAATGACTTATAATTTTGAACAAAGAAAGTACTCTTCCAATTCCAAATTGTAAGATATTTTAACTTTTTCCATATATATTGTCGACAGAATATCGTCGGCAGTCCTCCGAGGGGTATCTTATGAAGATAGATTGATCGGCAGAGAGGCGTGTAATCAAGAACAAGAAGACAACAGAGATACACGAGTTAGACAGGTTCAGGCCATCAGTATGACATAATACCCTACTCCTGTGGTCTGTTGTTTGTATTAGCTATCGTATGATATTGCGTGAGTTTGGAGGGGGTCCCTGCCCGCCTTATATAGTCCGGGGGCAGGGTTACAAGTCGGCTAGATCTGAGAGATAACCGGAAAGTAATAACAGATTACAGGAATCTTGGGATCATACGTATTCTAACAGATCTCGTAGTATCTTCAGGATATCTCCCCAGTGTCTTGCGGGAGGCGCCGAGCAGAGTCGTGCCCCGCAAGGCTTCATCTTGTGGGCTAAGCCATCCTTAGGGGCGCAACCCATGTGGTCTACCGTGAGTATCCGGGGTCGTACCCCCCATAGCTAGTCCCCGAGCGCCTTGTACCCGTTGTGCAACGCTGTTTTGAGCTTGTCCGGGCAGGTGCGAACAAAGCTGAGTAGTCAAACTCATGGTCCGACCACCGTGATGAGTTGCCGAGCAGTTGTGAGCAGTTGTCGAGCAGCGTGAACCATCGCCGAGCAGCATCAACCGTAGCCGAGCAGCATAACCCAAGTACGGCTTGCCCTAAGGGTACAAGGAGCTCAAGTTCAAAATCAAAAATTTCTTCGCAGTGGACTAAGTGTGCCCACTTAGAGTCCGACCACGAGAAAAGGAGATAGTCTTCTTCAGCTTCAAGAGGTGCGGAGTCTTCTAGAATAAAGCAAACACATTCACCACGAGGTGAAGTGTGCCCACTTAGTCCCCGAGCCTGACAGTAGATGACGTAGTCATGTGGTGCTAGGGTCCAAAGTAGAAGAAAAATAGAAGATCAGCCGAGCAGGCAGCCAGTCCCTGGGCGTAGCCCTGAAAAGCACATTCACCGCAAGGTGAAGTGTGCCCACTTTGTCCCCGAGCCTGACAGTAGGTGACATGGTCACATGGTGCCAGGGTCAAAAAATAGCAGTCAACTTGGAGAAAACAGAATCGTGGAGAAAACACCGGAGTAATAGCTATACAGTAGTAATTACTAAGCCATAACGATTGGCGGAGATGTCGGCGAATATTCGGCGAGCCGTAACAAATTACGGAGATAAATCAGCGATACGGGCTTGGGTTGCACGAAGGCCCAGGTAACGGCCCACCTTCAGTTGTGGAGAATTCGAAGAAGGCGCAAATCGCGGGAACGGTTTCCCAAAAACCCTCGAATGCGAAAAGGTGGGGGAGTGCTTTATAACTGCACCGCCGCACCCCGCGCACATACCTTTGGCCCTTTGCCATTTCATCTTCCTCCTCAGCCATCGCATTCCTAGATTCACATCTACACCTGCTTCCGTCGCTAAACCCTAACCAGATTTGAGAGATGGCACCGAAGAAGGGAGCTGCGAAATCGAAGAAGACGAGCCCCCAAAAGGCGAGCGCCGAAATCCGGCGTGACGAAAAGTGGGTGCCGTCGCGGATGGGAGAGGCGGAGTTCAACAGATTGGTGGAGGTGGGCGTTCTGCCTGACCGTGTCACCATCGAATGGCGTTCGGCTCTCGGTGAGCCCTTCCCCATGCCTCATACCGACGAAGTGGTGGTATTTGAAGATTATTTCTGGCGCGGGTTGGGATTTCCTGTTCATCCATTCCTGAGGGATCTATTGAAGCTCTGGGTGGTTAGTCTGTGCAACCTCCACCCAAATACCATATTGCACATATCTATCTTCATCTATTTCTGTGAGGCGTTTCTCGGAATCTTCCACACTTCAATCTCTTCCGTCACCTGTTCTGGCTGAAGAAGAGAGGTGGCAGTGGTTCCAAGGTGGTCGGCGGAGTGTATCTTCAACTATGTGATGGAATGGTGGGGGAATACCTTACTGTTCCGCTAAGCACATCGTTGAAGGGGTGGAACACCAATGGTTCTACATGAAGCAGGGCCACCCTGCAGTCCGCTACAATGTCAACCACATACCGAAGAGCTAGAGGAGCTGGTCGGAGACGCCAAGTAGCACTGATATGGAGCAAGTGAGGGAGCTCATTGGCTTAATAAAGGGCGTGAAGACCAATGGTGGATTAGTGGCGGCATGCTTTATAGTGCGTCGTATCCAACCCTACAAGGAGAGGGCCCACCCCACCTTTGAGTTCAAGGGGGAGACTGACGGTACCCGGGAGAGGTCGGAGATGCTGTCGAGGAATGTTGTGCAGGAGCGGGCCGCAGAGCTGTTCGCTCCACTTGCCTCATTCAACTTGCCAGGACAGACGAAACACTTTCACTGCAAAAATCTGCCTCCTCAGGTAAATACCTAAGTTGTGTGTTCATGATGCTTTTTTAGCTTTTGTCATTGCCGAGTAGTTGACTGATTTACTCATGCGAAGATCCATTCATAGGAAAGAGCGGTGTACTTCTCGGGCGTGCCGAGGAACGATTGGCCGAAGGGAGTAGACGCCCGACCACCGCCGCAACCTGAGGAGGAAACCGCCTGAGGGAGTCCATCCCTGGTGTCGGAGAAAATCCAGGGGAAGAGGGCAGCGGTAAACGAGCCGGCTCGAAAGAAGAGAAAGATGGCGAGTGTCGCTCCCCTCAAGCCGGGCGACATCTCGCTTGGTGGTGACCAGACCACTCGGACGTGAAGGACTGTGGTGTTCGAGTGATCGTATGATGATGAAGTTCTGATTGCTCCTCCACCGAGCATGAAGGCGCCTCCGCGTAGCACGCGCGCGGAGGAACGGTCGATGGGAAGGGAGGAAGTTCCCCAACAACAGACGATGGGAGTCCCCGAGCAGCAGGCAAGGGGAGCCTCGGAGCAGTAGGCGGAGGAAGTCCCCAAGCAGCAGGCGAGGGGAGCCCCAAAGCGGTGGGCGGAGGAAAGGCCGATGGCAGAGACCGTGGGACCTCCACCCCAAGACACAGGCGTCGACGCCAAGGCCGCGGCTGGGGGTTCGGGTAGGCATCACCGGTTCGAGAAATTGTACCGGCAGACCAAACCGTAAGTATCCTTGCCTTGGAGTTACCTTGCCATCGTTTCTTAGCTTTTTTGGCGACTGACGAGCTGATCTGATGCAGTGCAAGGCATGCGGAGGATCCAACCCCGCCCATCCAAACTATCGAGCAACCGAAGGCTGGTCCCAGAGCGGAGGAGGTGGCGGTAGACCCCATTCCGAAGTCCCTAGGTGCTTGACGGTCTGCGGAGGAGTCGACCGCTGCTACTTGTGAACTTGGTGGTGGTGAATAGTTGGTGCCGACGGCGGACGGGTCGGCGATGGTGCCCGGGGCAACGACGGAAGCCGCCGGGTCTTCAGTGGCGAATGCGGCAGATGCCGATGCTGCACCTGACTCTGGGGCGGCAAAGCCGATCTCGCCCAAGGAGCAAACGGGGCC